TCATAAGTTGTGCAGCATAGAAAGCAAGAAATTGTTTGTTGACAGGGGATAGGGGAATAACCTGTTTAGGTTAGTATTTTTTCCCCAGTACCAGGGGTTGAGCCCAGTGCTCACAAGAAAGTATATCTCCATACTTTTTTATACTTTTTATTTATTGACTGAGACAGGATCTCCATAAGTTGCTAAATTGCACAGACTGAGTTCATATTTGCAGTTTTGCTACTTCAGTCTCCTACAATGCTGGGATTATAGGCATGTACCATCATACCCATACTTGCTGGTATCTAACACTTTCTGCAAATATAGATACCTATCCCAGGCATAAAGTTATAAGAGAGGATAAGTAACATGGATCCTTAGAATTCTCCTTACCACCAAAATATTTTAGTTTCACTGAAGCCACAGATTTTTGTCTTTGTACTGTGTCCCCAGTAGCATTGTCTCCTATCCAGTCACTAGGAATGGGCCAGAGAAGTTGGCAGGTGATCATACTAACTGTATCTTAGCAGTGCGGGCCCACCTTAAACCTCAGCTCTCTGGAGGCCAAACTCTACAGCCAGTGGAAGGTCCATACAATTTCGTGTGTACATACGTCCATTGTTGATACTACACCTTCCTCACCTTCTTGTCTGATATTGATTTTTCTCATTCAGAGGCTCTGTAGATTCCAGAACACCCCAACTCTGCTCTTTGTCTTCCTTCCTTGCTACCTGCTGCATCACCAAGCACCATGTCTTCGTTTTTCAGCCTCTCACTGAGCTCACCCAAAGAGAACAATACTGTGCTACACCTGAGGATAGAGAGACAGGGAGAGTGGGAAAAGCAGCCAGGAAAAGTGCTTCTAAAGAATAGCCATATAATAGCAACTACTGTCCTTTCTGCTACCCAGAGAGAGCCTAGCTAGAATGAGAGAGTTTTTGCTGAGCCCATTGTAAAGGTCGCTCTTCAAAATCAGGGTTTCTTAGCCCATTACAATGGCTTTTGCTGAAATGTTCTGAGCTCTGAGCAGAGGCCTCTGAATCAACTGATTTAAGCAACATCGTTCTTCTTTTTCTTACTAGACAGTCACAGTAGAGGAGATATCAGAGCTGGTCCATTAGAAGGAGTTCAAGGGTAAGCACTGAAAAATGGAGAGAAATATAAACTTTTACCTCTTCCTTACCTGTAGAAAGGCAATAAGGGATACTTCCTCTCCCCTCAGTTCTTCATCTGCTGTTCAGTTTCTCTGCCTCTCATGTTCTAGTTGCTCCTTGATAAGAAATCCCATTTATTCTGTCTGTTAACATTTTATTCATGATGCCACTTATTTCATTAGCATAGATAATTAGCACACTAAGTAGAATAGAATCTACAGACCATACCCTTAATTCTGACAGCTGCAATATACTTGTTTGCTTTATTGATTATCTAAAACCACTTTTTAAAATTCTAGATTGGCTTCCCTATGCCAGGCAAGTCATGTCTTAGTTGGTTTCATCTATCTTCAGTTCCTTTGTGCTGAGTGGAATAGTTTAGTTTCCTTAAAAAGATCACATTCTCTGTACTAAGTGCTTTTTCTCTTTACTTTTCAAAACAATATCACAATACAAGTATTTCTGTATTATTTCCTATAGATAAAGAAAACAAGGTTGAAAAGTTAAATAACAGGCCTAAAACATTCAGCCAAGGGAATGAAATTTGTATCTGACTTCTGCATCTTTAATAGCCCCAAAATGGATCACTTTAAAATGAAGGGATTCACATAAGCTTGCCCTTAATGATATAACTTAAGTATCCACTTTGCCTTTAGTATCACATAGTGACAAGTGAATCTTCCTGTTTCTGGCCATCGGCTCAAACCTGAAAAGCTGTCTGATGTCATTATCTTCACTTTTCCTTTCTCCACTTGAAGACCAACTATTTCAGCAGACCATGTCCCCTTTCATTTATAGTTTCTATATCCCTTATAAGAAATATGCAGGAAAATCTGAATGTTACTCTTTAGTAACATTCCATATAAATGATAATGATCCAAATCCATACATTCTTTTTTTTTTTTTCTAAGTTTTATGTATCTGGTACAGGGTCTCACTCTGCAGCTCAGACTCATAGTGATCCTCCTATCTCAGCCTCCTCAGCGCTGGGATTACAGGCATGCACCACCACACTGGGTCTCAGTGGCTGGCTGGCCGTGCCTGGGGCAGAACCAGCACAGTATGCCGTACCAGGGATCAAACCTGGATCCTTGTGCTTGCCAGTCAGACACTTAGACCACTGAGCTATCTCTCCAGTTCTAAATCCATACATTTAGAAAGGAAAATTGTGGGTACTTGAGTAACCTGAAAATAATACCCTGTTTAACCAGATAGTTCCTGAAATGCCCATAATGCACCATCGCAGCATTTAAATAAGTATAGAGAGCGCCTTCCTTCAAGGTGCTCCCAAGTGCTTTGCAAACATTTTTTCCTCATTAACTAGCATACCAGTTTTCTGTGGCATGGAAGGGAATAGGATACTTTGTCCTGTTTAAAATGTGGAGCTGCTAGTGCATTTAGTGATTGAGCAGGTTGCCCTGGGGTCACTTACTAACAAGGCCAAAGTAGAGTCATCTGGGCTTGTAGGCCACTCAGAGCAGAAGACCAACAGTCTTACAAAGGGCCCTGGCAAGTGCTTGGTACAACTCCTCCCTTACAGAAAGCAAAACACACCCAGAAAGATGAAAGCATTTAAAAAACCCAGGGTCACCCAAATAATTAATGGCAGAACTGATATTACATGCATACAAACAATATATGTATATGTGCTATGAGAGAAAGATGAAAACTGTGAAAAATTAATTTATAGTCAGATGAGAATAGTGTGAAAGTAAATGGCCTTTGTCAGTGACCTCGCCAGAGGAAAAGCACACAGTTAGAAGGTGAAAGTTTCAAATAGCAAGAACATTTAGCACAGACAAAGTTTCAACTTCCTAGCAGCCAAAATACCATCTGGAACTTAAGGCGTGCTTCTCATTAAAGGTGACAGGTGGACATGTTTTAAAAGATATTTGGCCGCCTATCGTAGCCACTATAAATTGTACTGAAAGCACAAGGATAGCAAAAGACCAGCTGAGTTCCAAGCATGTTTACAGCTGACAGAAATGTTTTAACTAAAAATAACACACATGACTGTCTCTTTTAGGGAATCTCTCATTTCAAAAAAATTTAGTAACATAAACATTATGCGTAGACTAAGCTCTTCAGCAAACTGAGATTATTAGCACTGGTCCTTTCCTAACTTCTTCTATTTTAGTCTAAAACTGGACTAAATAAGAACTGTTATTCTCACCTAACCCTGTGATTCTGTGCATCATATTGTCCTATTAGTATGCCTCAAAAAAATCCGTGTATACTTGAAATACAACAATAATAATAACAAAAAATAATGGGAGAAAATTTCACAAAATGGATCATGAACTTAAAAACACTTCACACCAAGCTTGGCACATAACAAGCATGCAATGCCTGGTGACTGTTTTTATTGCTGTTAAGACTGTGACACATGAAATCTCCTCTGTTTCATAATAGAAACATAGAAACATAGTCAAGACATACTTTACATGGAAATTACCTCAAAATAAAGAAGTAGATTTCCTTGCCATGCTGAATATATAGTACAGATGTTGAGCTATTGCCCTAGAGAGGTGTTGGCTTTGGGTTTTTAGGTCAACTGCACTACAGAAAAGTACATAGAAGGAACTTTGTGCTCTGAGGTACATGCCTATGTTGGAATAGGAGAGATTGTAGCTCATCTCATCTACTGAGCATAGAACAACAAAAGCTAAGAAAAAACAACACAAACACAACTAAGTGTTTAAGTAATTATCCACAGAGATGTCAAAGATTCACAGACTTGCCTTATAGAAGAATCTTCATGTCATGATTCAGTCACAGAGAAATCTTGCTAAACTGTTTTTAACTAGCTTGATCATTTGGTCGCTAAGCCAATGGCAAATCAAAGCAGTAAATGAAGAGGAAAAAAAGACTTTTGCCAACAGGCTAAGAAAAAAGACAATAACAATTTTAGAAACTGACCTAAGTTTAAAAGCATATGGAACCATTTAATAAGGGATGGGGGTGGCGGCCTCGTAATAAGAATACCATGCAAATATTCCCACACCACCCTTGGTGGTCTACAAAGTGATTTCATATGTATTTTCTGTCAACATCAGCACAGTGAGGTAAGTAGAACTTTATACCTCAGAGCCTTTTGATGATTTGACTTAGTGATATAGTGTGTTGGTGCTTAAATTTGAACAGCATCATATGATTTGGAGACCAGCATGTATCCACCACTTACTCAACTTTCACACCTAAGAAGGCCAATCTACAGCTCACTGCACTCAACACAAAATAGCCAGTTAACTAGGACTCTATTTAAGGAAGATTTCTCCCTAAAATCTATAACACTGAAAAAGCATAGCTTTTCTTCCTATATCAGCAAATATCTCTCAGACTTAGAATTATAATAAACACATTTACTAAGCAAAATAATAAATTAGAATTATGGACTCTCCCAAAAGAACCAAGCTATATGACCAATATTTCTAATCCCTAGAGATTCAAAAGAACCTAATTTCTCCAAAGAATTATTTTTTATATTTATTTGAAACTTAATTGGAAGCAATTAAATCCCTAATTAAGATACTGAAAATGACTCGCTGAAAAAGTAGCCCGTCCTTTTCTCCACAGCATGATCTTTAAGACCTTTAGTGTGGGAGACCTTGTAGTTTTCTAAGATAGCATTTTTTGGCATGTGGAAAACTCAAGACTATTCTGGCATCCCTTAAAGCAAGATTTCTCTGACCTTGAAAGGCCGAGAAGGCCTGGAATTTTCCAATCAAAGATGATCCATTCAACAATCAAATTTTACCTTTTAAATTCTTTTTTTTCTTTTTTGTTGTCTTGTTTTTGTGTCCTTCATTTTCCCTCCTTGGCTGTGTCTTGCCCTGTCCTGCTTGCTGTCTCTTCCCACATCAACAGGTGAGAAGCCCCACCAATGCAGCATCTGTTGGCGATCCTTCTCCTTAAAGGATTACCTTATCAAGCACATGGTGACACACACAGGTGTGAGGGCATACCAGTGCAGTATCTGCAACAAGCGCTTCACCCAGAAGAGCTCTCTCAATGTGCACATGCGCCTCCATCGGGGGGAGAAGTCCTACGAGTGTTACATCTGCAAAAAGAAGTTCTCCCACAAGACCCTCCTGGAACGACATGTGGCCCTGCACAGTGCCAGCAATGGAACCCCTCCTGCAGGCACACCCCCAGGTGCCCGCCCTGGTCCCACAGGCGTGGTGGCCTGCACGGAGGGGACCACCTACGTCTGCTCCGTCTGCCCAGCAAAGTTTGACCAAATTGAGCAGTTCAACGACCACATGAGGATGCATGTGTCTGACGGATAAGTAGTATCTTTCTTTCTTATGAACAAAACAACAGAAAAAGAAATAAACAAACAAACAAAGCTATGGCACTAGAATTTAAGAAATGTTTTGATTTCATTTTTACTTTCTGTTTTTGTTTTTGTTTCGTTTCATTTTGTACTACATGAAGAACTGTTTTTTGCCTGCTGGTACATTACATTTCCGGAGGCTTGGGTGAATAATAGTTTTCCCAGTCTCCCTCGGATGGTGGCCTTAAGGCCTGGTAGTGCTTCAGGAGATCCACTGGTTGGATCTCTAGCTACTGGCCTCTAAATACAACCCTTCTTTACAAAAAAAAAAAAAAAAAAAAAAAAAAAAAAAGAAAAAAAAAAAGAAAATCTTTTTAAAAAGTTTAAAAAAAGGAAAAAACAAAAAACAAAAAAATTTTCCACTTGTGAAGAGCACTACAAAATATATAACAAATTCTAAAAGGCCTACTGTCTTTAAATACACCGCTTGCAGTGTTTTCATGGACATTTTCACAATTCTGGCCACTTGGACTTCACAGTAACCAGTTTAAACTGTGGAATATCACTTCTGGTGAAAACCCAGAGGAAAGGCCCTGCTGTTTTCCACCTACCATGTTGTCTGATATCATAAAAGGGCTGTGGGGGTGGGAGAGGGAAGTGGGATCAGTGATGTGGGAAAGAGGGTAACGGCAAGCTTCTCCCCTAGATTTTGCCTGCCTCCACACACCCTGGCTCACCTCCTCCACGTCCCCCCCTTTCAGCAGAAGCCAGGAAGACTTGGACAAGCAACAAGCAACAGTGGCTATCGTATTTATTCAGTGTCTTTGCTGGGCCACAGCCTCAGCACAATCAAGAGGGACTTTCATGAAAGGCAGGAATGCAGATAAAACAAAGATATCAGAGATTTGCACCTATGTTTCTAGGTACAAGAGGATTATTTCCAACAATCTTTGCAAAAAAAAGTGTCAGGATATATTCTTGTGGAAGAGAAAAAGAAAGAGAAATGGAGGGTGGGGGGAACAATAAGTTCTTGAGGCTTTTTTAATTCAAAATTTTATAGGGGGCAAAAGTGACATTTACCAGATAGAATGCTGATTTTTTAATATATTTACAACAGTATTTGTGTAAAAAAAAACAAAAAAAGAGATTGTTAAAGTAATTTTTTTTTCATTTTGGTTTTGCATACACTGCCACCAATCCCTTCTCTTTTATTTTGTCTCTCTCTCACACACACACACACACACATATATATATATATATATATATATATATATATAGTTTTTTTTTTTTTTTAGTAAGTCAAGACTGTTAAGGTTAGCAATACTGCTTCCAGACAGAAAGAATAAAAATCAACTAAAGTTATATTTGAAAGAGAGGAAGGTTATTTTCTTCATTTTTATTTTTCTTAATTTTTATTATTTTAAGTATTGCCTGGGTTGATGAGGGCCTCTGTGGCCCACCTATCCCTGCTGTAATTTGAACTGCTGCTTTGTATTTTGATATGTAGTTCCTTGACTTTTAGCAAGCTTAAGTTACTCCACTGACTACTTTTTTCATTGATCCATCTAGAATTCTTTTCTTTTTCATTGGAAGGGACTTTATGTTTCAGAAGCAGACTTCTTGCTTCTTTAAAATTTCATTGCACTCTTAAGATTCTAGAATTTCTATCGAGCTTGCTTTTTGTCTTTGATGAAACACTAATCATCTACAGGTCTTGACAAATGGGTTTGTTTCTTTTGTGGTCAGCCTGGAGGAGGACTTCACAGAACTTGCCACACCTCCTCACCCTTCACAAGCCTATGGGCATCATTATGAGAAGCCTGTTACAAACCATGATGCGCTGATGCCAAAATTAATTTTTCTTTCAAATATCACCTTCTGACTCTTTCCACCATGGCTAAGCGGGCTAAATAAGATATTCATTCTTTAGATGATTTATTAAAATCCTTGCCTTTTCGAAAGGTCTTTGGAAATTAACGATTTCCTTGATACCAACATCCACCATTCAAAAGGCCACCAATCTATTGCATCATGCCAGATGCCACTCTCTTCCTAGTTGGGATTTCTCTCCTCGGTCCTGATCAAGAAATCATAATAGAGACTTTTCCATTATAGACAGTGTCGTAAAGGAAATTTGATTCAAAAATAGAACTTTTTACATGTAATATTCCTGAAGTGATTTCACTATGGGGCATGTTTTAATATACTTAAGGGAAAAGTAAATCTTTAAACAAAGCAGAAACACCAAACTATAGTTTTAAAAAGAGAGAATATTTTACTTTCAAAAATTACTCTAATTTTAATTTAATTTTCCTTTTAATTTGCATTTTAGCATTTTGTGTACAAAAAGTATGTAGCAAACAAGGGAAAATCTTCAAAAGCAAGCAACTCTGTAATGACTAAATTGACTTTGTTCATGTTTTAGACATTGGTTAATTCAGATCTTTTCCATAAGCTATTTGTGATGTTTAGTAGAATTTGTACAACTGGAATGTTTGACTTCATCTGTCTTTCAGCACTTAATTCAGTGAATATTGGTAGAAGTTTAATGTAGACTTGAATGGCAAGCTGACTCTAAGTTCACTCATAATTTCTAGTATGAGTCCCATGAAGAACTGGGTGTCCAAAATTCACCTATTCTGAAAGTCAATGAGAAATCACTTTAGAAATGCAAAATCTCTGATTTTCTATTGCTAATTTTACTTTCTACAGTATGTTGACTAAGATTTCCACTTACCACCAATAGAGGGAGCATTAAGTAACTTTGTCATGGAATATTTTGATATTTTGAAAAACAACCCATTCAGTACATAAATTAAAAAAGATTGACCCTGAGAAAAAATACAAGAAAATGATGTGAAATGACTCAGTATATATCATCAATGCAAAAAGGCCCAATGCTACTTTAAAATATTTTTAACTGTGTGACCATAGTGCATTTAAAATAGTGTCTTTATTAAAACCTGAACAACATAGATAGAATTCATAATTCTTCCAGAAAATTTAATCTTGAGTATCATTAGGGCAGCATTTATCTGTCTGCTTCTGAAAGCTGAAGGAGACCCATTTGTCTTAATGATTTTGCCATTGTAAAAAGCTAAGCAACTGAGTTGAAATCCACCTTTTGTCATAGAATATATAGAGGAAAAAACTTCTAGAAGACTAGAAATGCTGATGTTCATTCTTTTCCTATAAAGAAGTGTCTCTTTTTTTTTAATAAGGTAGGGTTTCTAAAGAATTCTTTGTGAGATGATATAATCATTGTCATCAGTTATCAAATAGATTACCTAGGTTTTCTGGCAGTGGACTTCTTCCTACTGTATTGTTTTTCATTCCAAACATCTCACAGTGTAAATAAGCTGGAAGATTATTCTTTGGAAACAGGAAGAGGCTAAATCAGTGTTGGAGCTCAAATTGAGCGGACCAAAGAAACTGCTGTGGGTCTTTTATAAAACTTTCCTTTGATAGGATACTTTTCAAACTGACCCACATTTTAGAAAATAAACTCATCCTTACCTGTTTCCAAGAGATATAGATGCTTCCAGATTGCCAGTCTTGATTACAACTTAACAATCACAAATATCTTAAGAAATAGGGAAACATTTTGCCTCAAGATCAGCGAATAAGCATGGATTCATTTTTTGTTTCAAATCCCACAAGTCTTACATTTAGACCTTCATGCTAGGAAGCTATTGGTGCTTTTTAAAAATTCTTTTTATTAGCCAGGGAAAAGATAAGATGGAAGCAGATGTTCCAGATTTAAGACTTCTTAGGGAATGAGAATTTGTGTGGGAAATAACATTTTTAAAGCAGCTTATGATTTTAAAAGGAATTTGCTAAGCACAGAAGGGAAAAAAGTCAAAGAGGAGTATTTATCTCAAGACATTTAGATACCAATTGTGATAGAAAAATTTCATAACACTAAACATTGATAGTATCTCAACATGCTAGGCATTTTTCCCCATTAAATGTCAATGTTTGTGTAAGATGTAGGTCTAGAAATGAAACAAATTGGAACACACAAATCTGATACAGCTGTATATTGGGAAAAAATTAGGAAGCAAGCCAACCCCCCTCAAAAAATTGAAATTGAATCTTGTATATCAAAATATTTTTACTATATATTTTAATTGAGTTGTAAACTTTTGCCCCTTAAAAATGTTTTATAGACTTTTCCCTCATCAAATTCCTAATGCCTTGAGTCCTTTTTTAGATGAGTAAATGTGGTGGTTAATTCCTAGATCCACTCCATTCCTCTCTCTTAGTCATGTTAGAAGTCTCCATAGATGTTGGCCTTAGAAAGACTTGAGTTTGCTTTAAGACTCATGGAGGTTTTGCTTTATATCATAACATTCTATAAGGACCAAAACACCTTATTCCAACCCATGAACAGGGAGAATTTATGCATTCTGATAGTGAAAAGAGAAAAGATTTCCTCTGGAGATGCTTCTTTCACTTTAAGTCCTAAAATCTTAATCTACTCCTACTCTCCTTCTATAAAATGACCAGCAGCATGTGCCCTGCTTGTGCCCCCAAATCGGTGTTTTTTCCTAAGCACAGAGTTAAAATTCAAGTGTTTCCTGTGTAAAATTCCTAAGATCCAAAAGAAAGCATAATGAAGGCTCCTGTTGCTTCCTTGTTGGGGCCTTTAGGAAAGGAGGAACTGGGATCGATCTGGCCTAAGTTCACACTAGATATGTTCATCTTGGATCCTTCCTCTGTTGTTATTAAACACATTATTTAATTAGTTGAGCCTTGATACAGGGATATATGACTCTGCAGGAAAGGTATCAGATGATCCCATTGGATCTGGCTGTGCTGTCCCCAGTGTAGTGTGATCACAAAGGGAACAAAAGGACAGTGCAACATAAGAGCAGACACAACCTGAGATGGCCTGGGTATTGAGAAGAGGAGGGTGCCCTCTCTGTTGTGATTTGACTCTTTAAAAAAAATCTTCTAAAAAAATTCTTCAATTTAGTAATGAGTTGAAGTTCAGAGTAATGGAAGTGCTAGGGAAGATAATAAAACAATTGCAAGATGTATTCAGCACCTAACAATGCTACACTAGAAAAAAATCCAGTAGCAAAACTAAGAAGTTTGGCAAGAGACATTTAGAAAAATCTCTAGGCTTTTCCATGGGCAGGGTGGACAAACTTTCTTTTGAGTGATTTCTGGCTCTGAGAAACCACTTTACTAAAAAAGAACTTTATTTAAATGGCCAATTTTGTACCCCAGAGAAAGAAAAAAAAAATTTTTTTTAAAGGAAAAAAATAGGGCACTAAGGACAGAACCATGTGACTTGGTGACAAACCAAAAGAGGGGTACACTAGAATTTCAATA